TGTATTACAGAAACAGAATATTGAGGTATAAATCAACAAAACAATTCATCTGTAATACTTGATTATGAACAGAAACAGCTGTAGCAGTGCTAGACTCTGTCATTTCATTCACAATAAAATTCAAAAATATTTTTATTACATGTCCATTTATTTCTTTAGTAAGTAGCCATGTAAAAATCAGGTGTAGCATTTGGACCAATCAGACACACAACGTTTTGTTATATTTAACAAATAATATCTAACGCCCCCTCACCTAACCAAAGGGCCAATTACGACGGTCTATGGACCCTTCCCCCAAAATGCATCTAACACCTCAGAAAGGCAGAACAGGCCTCTGGTTCCATGGCAACCAATGCTGATATCACTTCAGCATTGAAGTGATATCAGCATTATATCTGATATCAGATATAATGCTGATATTATATCTGATATAATATAATATAGGGTGTGACTTGAGATACGCTTTTGTGTCCCTGGCTTGTTTAAATGCAGATAAAGTAGGGGCTTGAACTGGTACCGCTATTATGATTGAAAGAGTCTTTATGTATTTCATGTTTAATGGTAACAGTGTAAGGTTAATCTTAAGGTTAAGCGAAGAAACCCTAATTGTTCTGACAAAGAAATCTCAGCTCAGTGGCATGTCCAAACTGTACCATAATGCATTAATCTTCTTTAGTGAAGAAATCACAAAATTGCAGTATTGTTTAAACTGTTTCTGACGAAGAAACCTCAGTACAGTGTTATATAAAGGTAGCTTTGAGTGATTCTTCTCTTTCTACAGCATAAAGGCTTTATAGATTATAATTAGATTGTGGCAATTCATCTACACTTTGACTGTATATATACAAGCCTAGCAACCTGGTGGTCATTACTGTGTTTCACTCGCTGAGTGAAACTAAAGGCGTAATACTGTACTTCAGTATTCATGTGTGAAGCACACATAACTACTGTAGCGTCTGCGTAAAATCATGCATGATCTTTAGGTGTTTATGGCTTAAGAGACCCCTTTTAGCCTTTTGACATTTGCATATAAATTACAGTTCTGGTCAGAGCTAATGCTTGTATAGGGGTTTTAAATTGCCAAATGGTTCCTCGCCGTCAAGGAGATTCTAACCAGCCCCCACTATCATCTCCCCCATCTGACTTCAAACACTGTCCAAAAGAGCTGAAAATGGCCAGGCAAAGGTTCAACTTGAACAGGTAGCTCCACTTCACCTGACCATCGGCCCTATGAACTTTGTGCACCCTGTGTACATTTCTCCATTTGACACATATCCTCTCCTCATTGGCAAAGACCTGCTAGATCACTTTGAACCATTGCTAGATTTTAAACAACTGAAAATCTGGGCTCAAGTGCGAGAACCTCTGCCTCCGCAGTCACCAAGACCACCCCAGACAGACTGTCAGGTCACAAAGGTCGCGGGAAATCTCACCGCCAGCCGCGGGAACGTCTCGTCCCAAGAGCAAAGTCGCTGCTCTGTACTTTCCAGTTAGCAAAAGACTCTGACACATATGGCCCCCAGGTTAAGGGGGGCTTACAACTGAATGATGTCACAACAACAGACCCCATACTAGCACTGTGGGCAGACAATTCAGCCATCAGTCTCTCACAGTTCAATGCTCTCAAACTGCACACAACGAACATTCCTTTTGCTAACAAGCGCACACGATTCCCCTTGAATCCCTGCCCATCAGCTATGGTGACTTGCCAAGGGCACCTGTGCCCTGAACTTGAGGTGGAATGACAGGTGTCTAACCCATTACTTCCTGGTCCTTACAGACGCACCACATGATGTCTACATCGGAGTGGACATTCTGATTCGCCTCAGGGCTCACATAGACATGATCAATTAAGTGATATAGGCTCCAATGACCTCACAGTCACCCACAGTTCCTG